TGTTGCTGGCGCTGGCGTTGCTGTTGATGTTACTCTTCGCCGTGTGCGTGTGCATTGTGAGTTTGTAAATAATCCTTAATTATTGCTATTGCAGCCATAAAGCCACCACACAATAAACATGCAAATACAGTTGACCACGTTGGCTTAAAGCAGGTGCAAGAAGGCTGGCATAGCTGTGGCATAAGTAAACCAGATTGTGCCATTTGTTGGTCGTAGGCGTGTAGTAGAATCAGTGGAGCTCCAATCAAACTCTGAGTCATTGCAGCAATTATAGCAGAATCAGACTGTGTGCTAAAACGCAGCCAACCCGGCCAATACTCTTAAAGACACGTCACACAACGAACTATGGCGCATATTTCTTTAGAACCCAAATGGGCAAGAAAGCGGAATGCCGCTCATTGTTTGTGAGAACGTTTTGGTGATCCACCTTTACAGGCAGAGGCTCCAATGCTAACACCTTTTAACATGTTCCTATAAAATATGGCATCAAATCTACTTAATTGAGAAGAGAAATTCATAAATTATAGAATTGCCCAGATGGTGTTATAAGTTATACATTATTTAATAAGATTGTTGAATTCTTTTTAAATGTACTTAGCTACAATATAAGAAAAACGAAAAAGAATCAACAGAATATGAAAAGAGTAATATATTTTTGAATGTTTCCTTTATCTCTTATATTTATTATTTGTATGCATTTACGTTTTTCGATGAAAAGCTAACAATTAAGTTCATGAAATAATGCAACTTTTCTAGAAAATTCTGTTTTTTTGTTGCCAAATAACAATTTTTTTTTTTTTTTTTTGCAAACTCGCCAAGAAGATACGCTTTAAAAGCTGAAGAATGACGTTATTAAATTTTTATTATTCATGAAAATACAGGCTCTATAAAACATATTTTTAACATGAAAACTAAATGTCTTGCCCCATAGTACTTCACGCAGCGTTTTGTCATAATTAGAATGGTGGACCCAATGACCTGCCGCAGGGGCAGAAGAAGCAGCAGGACTAACGGTTGTCTCAGCACCGACATCGGCACCGGCACATAAACGCTCATCAAATCCATTTAACCTGTAATGGCTGACCCGCCCATGGGTTTTATTTGCCATCAACTTGCAGCACGCATACGCCGCGTTGCACGCTGCCACACTTGCCGCATTTGCCGCTGTTGCTTCTGATTCTGAATCTGCTTCTACTCCTGCATGGGCCACATGATCGTGTTTATGCGCACGTCAGGTAGTGTGCGTGTGTGTGTCTGAGTGTGAGTGTGAGTGTGAGTGTGTATTTTAGGGTTAGTGTTCTAAGTGCTGCATTTACGGGCAAAGGTGTGCCTGAACCTGGGCCTGCAGCTAAAGCAAACGCAATCGTTGAACTTGCACGACCATGCTTACCATGCCACCTCGGCATGTTTGCCTTTTGGCACCCGCCGTGTGTGTGTGTGGGTTGTTTGGTGGCTCTGTCATTTTTGTGCTGATTTGCGTTTAATTGAATTTTGCGCCTCCAACACTCAGACCTTCGCTTGGTCTCTCTCTCCCTCTCCCTCTCCCTCTCCCTCTCCCTCTCTCTCTCTCTCTTTCTCTTTCTCTTTATCTTTCTCTCTCCTATCAATTTGCTAAACTCATTTAATTGTGCTGAAAATGTAGAGCCCACTTAAATGATTAGGGCTGCACGCCCAGGCAGTCTCGTACGCGGCAGTACTGCCCACACCTACTCAGCCAGAGAGCAGACAACGGGGAACATAAATCAACACGCCTGTGGCTGGTCAATGAACCGCAGCGGTTCAAAATGCCAGACGCCAGCCTCATGCTTGGAGATAGTATGAGAGAGGGGCAGAGGAGAGGGACAAGGAAGAAAAAAGGCAACGCACAAAGCGGGCGGCAAGTGTGTGGGTGGCCGTAGTCTATAACCATTAATGATGTGGCCTACAAGCCTCAATACACCACGAGTACGTGCTTCAATGTGCCGCAGTCGTCGACGCCGTCGACGCCGCAGTTGCCGCCGCTGACGCTTGCCACGTCACAGCTAGCATGACTGCCATAGGCATAGGCCGATGCCTCGACGATACTCACTCGCCGGCGTGCAGCAGAAACAGAAGAAATGTGCGAAGCGGAAACAACTTAATGACGCGCGGCGCTAATGGTTCACTTAAGCACCCACATAAGTTTTCCGCGCTTTCCAAAACGCCATGCCGTTTGCCTCTTTTCTATGCCCTGCTCTTTAAGTGAGTAGTACATTGTTTCTGATAGGAAAGTTTGTAAGGCGTTATTGAAGCGCCATAGATCCCATATTATGCGCCTGGTAGTGGACACATCTTTCTGAATCTCTATTTACCTCACAGATTTAAAGCTCGAATCGAGTTGGAAATATTTTCTAGTCATTGACTTGGGCATTCATTTTTGTTGAAAGAAAGAAATAAATGGAAATTTCTAATTTCAAAATGTATTTAGCTTCTTTGTTAGAAGCTTTCTCTAATAATCCTTTTCTTCTTGCTCATAAAGTAAAATACAAAGATTTCGGAATAGTTTTATTCGCTCATAGCCCATTATATGTATAATTTTGAAATACGCAACTTTTTCTAGTTAGAGTTGAAATATTTTTTTTAAAACACACATTTTCTTCATGTTTGAAGAACGCTTTCTATTAATATTCATTTGAAAATGTTCACAAGCCGAGTTTAAATTCAATCGGATGCACAACCAAATTTAAATTCTTTAATAATGCAAATTGAATTAAAACAACTTTTTCAATGAAATGTACATTCTTTTGTGAAATAAAAAGGAGGGTACAAAACTTCAATGCAACTGAAAGTTACTTTTCCAGCTTTTTTGTTCTGTTCTCTCCGACTGGGTGTTGGTGTGTGTGGGTGTGTGTGTGTGTGAGTGTGTCACTGTGTTGTCGTTTTGCCCGCCGGCTGGCAATGCCAAATTCCGTCCGACCGCCCGTCTATTTTCCAACTTTCTATGCGTACTCCAATGCTTGACTTGGCCCTGCTGCTCGCTGCTCTGCGAACGCGCCGTACAGTAATAATTTTTCGCTAATGGTGTCCTAAATTGTCAAGAAATATGGAACCATTTGAATGTGTTACCCAGTGCGAGTATGTGGGTGTGTTCTGGGTAAGAGCTACGAAGCGGAGGTATACTTGTATATATATATAGCGCTCTGTTGCTGAGTGTGGCTTTTAGTTCGTTTATGTTTTTGACTTCCGGTTAGCCAGGCGTCGAGAATTCTTTTGTTTTATTTTTCGCTCCTTTTATGTTTAAAGGCGTCAGAAAAAAATGACAGCGAGGGGAGTAGACAGCGTGCCTGCTTGTGACAACTTAAAGCGCGATTTCAATTTGGATCGGATTTTTAAAGAACATAATCAAAGCTGCGTATTTCATAAATCTTTTAGTGCAAGCAAGAGTTTGTTGAACTGATAGTTCAACATTTATGTAACACTGTTTATTTCGATTTAGAATAGAGATAAAGCTTCGTCAAACAACGTAAAAAATTAAACAATAAACTTTTATTTTAATTTGATATAAATTATACTAATGAAAGCTTTAACAGGAAGCTCACTTCACAATTGAAATAGAAATAAAAACAGAGGAAGAATACAGTAAATAATGCTTACCCGCAAAGTATGCAACACTTTCTTCGCATCAAAGAAAAGAAAAAAGGCCTTATTGGTGAAACATTTAAATGCCTATTTCTCTAACTCAATTTTTGCACACAAACATGATGCTTAAGTATTTTTTTATAAAATACATTACACTATAAAACGAATATATTAAAATACAGTATGTTTGAAAGCCATTCCAGTGACGTTCGCCATGCCACTACACCTAAGGGTAACGGCTAACATTCTACGCCAAAACATAGTTTATTGTTGCAAAGTAGAGGTGTTCTGCTTGTTTGCCCATAAAAGTGTAATTAAAAAATTTAACGTTATATGAATCCTTTCAAAGTATCTTAAAATGTTTCTCACTGTGACGTAATAGGGTTTGGCATTTCAAACAATGGACTGTTTGAACGAATACGAAAATTGATATCACCTGCAGAAACGTTTGTGGATTACATTTCTAAAATAGGTCTGTGATTTTAAATTGTAAATATATACTTGGTAGGTAGAAGTAAGTTGCTTGAATCTCCAAATAGTGCTACATAAAAAATAGTTTTAACTGTGAAATTCCTCAAAACAACACCCTATTGTCTAGCTTAATATTTGTAAATGTCTAAATCGCCGCAATGCCCTGCCACAATACCTTCATGTACGCCAGTGCCAAAATACACCTTCTCCTCATCCCATTCATCACGAGCGAAAAAAAATGTCTTTGTGTGCTTAAGTATTTGTGACAACACAGACGTAAAAAATCTGCTACTTATAAATTATGTTTATTTATTTATTATATTTTGAAGCAGCTGCTCACAACTACGCACCGTTTTGTCCAACGTTGCGTGCTTGTCATTGTTGTTGTTGGGGCTGTCAACGATTGTCCTGCCACAACAATGCCGTTCATTCTTTTCCCCACTGCTTATTTCTTTTTTCCCATAAATCTGTAAAGAGAAATATAAAAAAGACGATGTACAAATGCTGTTGACAGCGGACACTCTCGATGCCGGCCATTGAATTGTGTGTGTTCGTGTGTGTGTGTGTGTGTGTGTGTGTGTGTGTGTGTGACGGCACAACTGGCGCCAAAAAAATAAAAAACAACAACAACAAATTAGACGAGGGTAGCCTCAAATTGGCCAAGCTGACAACAATTGGTCGAGTCCGATGCGTAACTGTGAATATGTTGGGTAAGCGGATGACGGGAGGCAATGGTCGCCCAAGTCGTTTATGGTCAGTTGTTGCTAATAATGTTATCGATTTGACAAATACACAGGACATAACATTTCCATAATGCTGGGCGAGCATTTGCCAGCACGGACATTAGCTTGATTAACGTGAAGCACTTCCATTTTCTGTATTGTCACTCAGAGCTCTCTCAGTTTATTGTTTCTTTCTACTTCAATCTGTCAAAATTTCGATTTCAAGTATTTGCGCAAAATTCCGAAGCTTTCATTCGAAATGACTTCTAGCGATCTGCTCATCGTAACACCCACCAAATTGACCTTCCAGGCGCCATTTCCGCATGCGCAGAAACGCCTAATCAGTCTCCTTAACCCTACAGGTCAGCCGCTGCTCTATCACATGCAGCCCAGCAATGAAGAGTTTTATGCTGTCGAACCGACGTCCGGTACTCTGGCGCCTTTTGACACCACCGAACTAACCATCACGCTGAAGTCCATTTCCGGTGAGCTCCCTGATTGTTGCTTCGATGTCAAATACGTGGCAGAACGTGATGGCGACATCGTAGCTCCGGACTGGTACAAAAATGCACAACACCCTACCGCCAACGTCAGCGTCTGCTTAGACAACTCTGAGGCCGACTATGCGAATGCTTCCGTGCGACTTCGAATGCAACTCAATAATGGATATGATCCCAACGAATTACTGAAGACCATCGAGAAGCAGTACAAGCCCGTGTGCGGCAAATGTGCCATGAAACGGGAGCAAATGAAAACCTCTTTTTGGCAAAGCCGAGCCTTTTGGATTGCACTAATATTTTTTGCTGCTGCTTGTGAGTTATACTTAGATGTGTATTAGTCTTTAAGTATGACTAACTTTCCGCTTACAGTCTATGTATTCAAAAATCACATTTGCGCAGCTTTCAGTCTTTTCTCGGAGCCGGGCTATTGAGCAATTCTTGATAGCTCGTCAAATACTATGTACTCTAATGATGTTCTTTTGCTTTGATAATTGGTTCTAATTAAAAACTTTTAAGTTGCTTTCAAGCACAATATTGGGGTTTCATTTTTAATCGTAACTTTACCAATACTTTAATTATCTTTCAACATCAATGGGCAAAACAAATCTATAGCTATAGCGAAAAGAGGAAAATTAGAAGATTCAGCTTCTAATGGCAAGCAATTTTTTTGGTTTATATGACTTTCGAGAAATTTTGTTTAGCTTTCTTAGTATAACATTAAATGTTTATTCATAAACTAATTGAAGACTAACCCAAATCTAGAACTGTAGCATTTTCAAAACAATACGTTCTGCATTTTGTTGATGTTGTATAGCATCGAAGTCTTAAGAATCATAGTCATAACACAATACTTCAGAAACTATCTTCGACTTTCAAATACCATAATAGAGTAAATTTCCCTAAAAGAGCCCAACCAAACGGTATTAATTAATTTTTAATCAACCTTTCCCAAGTTCATATGCCAAGATGTTGGGTGTGAGAGTTTTTTTTTTTTTAATTATTTACAATGCCTTGCTTATTATGGCTGTCTTGGAAAAAAGTTATTGCCATTCTGATTGCCTCTATTGAATTCTGATTTGTGTACACAAAGTTTAATTGAGTCACAGCTCTCACTTATTGTTGTTTGAAACAATTATTAAGTTGTACTTGAATATAATAATTTAGCTCTTCAATTGCCACTGTTGTCAGTATAGTTGAAGCAAATCAATTACGGAATGTATGTAAATCGTGAACTCTGCCCCCAGGCACCATATAGTTGGGCATAAATCAATCATACGCATTGGGCCGGAAAAGGGGGAGTGTGTGCGTGCGCCTCTAAATCAACTTCTTGCTGATTAACTAATCTGCCGCAAAACGTTTTATTAGCCAGTGCGCAGGGTATGCTCATAAATTGCGTACACCTAGGCAAATAAATACGCACACACACACACACATGCACAAACACGTTTACAGTTATTTATAAAGCAATTATTGGCGCAATTAATTTGTTATGGCACGAGCATACGGTTTGGGCAAAGTACGAGTTACAGCAACATCAGCAGGTAGCAGATTGTTGTTTCCATGGTTATTGTTGCAACTTTAATTAGTTTACATGGCACACACACATACCCACACACACAAACGCACACGCACAGGTGCTTTAGTGTACTTTGCTTTATGTGTCCCAATTATCATTTGTTTGGCAATTCAATTTGGCACGCAATCAAAACGAGACTGTGCTTGAAATTTATGCTGTTGGCCTAACAAGTTGCCTGCTCTCTACTAATGACCTTGCTACCAATTCGCGGATCCTCCAATTTGCGTCCGTGACACAACTGGGCCAAGCAAAAAAGGGCCTGGATAAACACTTAAAATGCCTGCGGGATTTGTGGTTTCCTGACTGCGGCGTTCAGCTTCCATTACGACATTTTTCACCCAAGCCGGCACTGCAGCTGCAGTTCCAGCTTCGAAATGGGTTAGTGTCGCTTTTCATTCTCACTACAGAGTCTGCAGTGGCTGCCTGAATAGGAGTATGCGTGGCATAAAATGTAAAAGCTACGACAGTTGAATGTGCCACAAATGGAAAAAGCAAGGCGGGCGTCAGCGCACACAAATCGCCAGCTCAGTGTTGACTTTGTGCCGCAGACGCTGGAGCAGTAATAAGCAGGAATGCCCAAAGGCTTTTGAGGTGGGCACCAAGTCCGACTGGGGGACCCTCCGCCATCATAGAGCAAATTCAATTTGGCACACAATTCCACAAATGACATAAACAAAATGCACAAGCCGCAGCCAAAATAGACAAAGGACCAAATGTCCAAAGTGATTTCAAATAGGGTGGGCCAACAATATGCAGGCGCACTGTTCTCCGAGGTAGAGCCCCGTGCGCAAATTTCACAAATTGACCAACAAATAGTATACGTAATAGTACCGATTGCACCATGGCCAACCAAAAAGGGGTAACCAAAAAAGAGGAGTCACCAAATAAAGCTGGCATACATTGTCATCGAAGATATGATAGTCTTGAAGCTACATGCCAATAAACAAGCTTCAAATAGCATAGACTTATGAAGTCCAAGGAACTTTGTGAGTTCCAGTAGAATAGCTGAAAAATATAATGAGAAAAATGAAAACCTGCCATGTTGCCATGCTGATTGATTATTTTGTTTACCATAGTGACCATTGTCCTCACATTTAGGCAATAAACAAGCCTTCAACAGCTGTTAGTCGTATTAACTATTCTTATATGCAAGTTGGTGAGCTCCAATGAAATTACTAGAAGAAGTGATATAAAAAGTGAAAGCAAAGCATCTAAGGAATCTAAAGCATCTTAAATGGAATATTGAATATTATTAAGAATTTTGAAAATGAGTTGAAGAATAGCAACCACCGGCTACTCTTTGTTATCTAACCGGATGAACTTGAATATGTATTTTTGTTGGTAAAAATCCCCTGCTTTTTGGTGGATTTACACAATTCCGTTTATATGCCTGGATAGGCGCTCGAAGCAGCCGTTGCTATAGATTTTGTTTACTATAGAGAAGTAAAGTAAACGTTTGTGTTTGCATGATACCTCCGAGTTTAAGAGCACAAAAAATTTTTGGTAAATAAGAGAGTTAAAGGTAATAATCAAAATTAATTACCAAACTTTGAATACATTTAAAATTTAGATCTGTCGTAGCGATTGGGTCTTCCGCACAAGATTTACAATTCATTTTCAAAAAATGGAAACAAAAAATAATCGCTTACCAGATACACAAAATAGAATATGTTTTTTCCCTAAACAAATACGTCTACTCGTTCTTTGAATAAAATTGTTTTCAAAAATGGAAAGCCACTCTCCAAAATGCTGAAGCCAATCAGTGCTTATCAATCGTGAATGAATCGTTCGTCAAAATCCTACAATAAAAATCTCGTCAAATTATTTAGTTCCTATTGAACAGTCAAAAAAAAAAAGAAGAAAAATATTGTAAATGGTCACCCTGCTCTGGCAGACCTTGGCAGCCATTTGACGACTGCACACCGGCGCTTTGTCAAAACTACACAATTTATGGCATTGGGCACAGAATAGTTGATTGTATTGAAAAATGTATGAAATTAGAATGTCTGATGGCATTTTGAATTGGATTTTTCATTTGTTGTGTTCTGTTCTGCTCTGTTTTGTTTTGAATATTTTTTGTGCGCTCTCTCCAATTTGCCTTTCGTTTTAACTCTCATTTGTTTGACAATTTCGAACGACACCGCAAGACAGACCACAGAAATGCTGCCAATTCTGCACTTGCCATTACTCATGCCCCTTTGATAACTGCCACTGCCACTGCCCTTCCCATTCCCATTCCAATGCCAGTGCCAGTGCCATTTATACTGCTAGTTCTGTTGCATTGCATGTCAAGATCTGCGTCCAATGCAAATATTTTTGCTTTTGTGCAAAGTTTCCTGTGCTCTTTAAGCTCGTTTGAGTTTGAATGAGTGTATGTGTGCGTGTGTGTGTGTGTGTGTGTGAGCTGCAATGTCATAAAACATTATTGACGTTTCAATTGGAAAGCGTTTTGCATTGTAGCGTGTGACACATGCAGGCTAACCTCCCATCAAGCTTCTCTCGTTTTCACGATTTCCGAACAATTTGCTTTACAGCATTCTCTCTGGCTCTGTGGATAAACAATTTGAACGGAAAGGTTGACACACAATTTGCTTTAAGCAGCCATCGGAGAATACCATCTTCGTTCTCTGCACTGGGTTACGGCTCATTAAATTGTTTAAACAAAATGTTAAAGACTGCCTTCCCGCTGCTGGCTGTTTACCTGCACGGCGCGGCACACGCATAAAAGTTTCTCAACACCAACAAGGACATGCTTTTGGTTGCCAGCTTACGAAAAGTTTTACGAGCTTATCCAAAGAAATAAAACACGCGCCGACATGACGAAAACGTACCAAAAAAACATGCGCACCAATAATGCCAAGTGCAGTAAGACAAGAGCAATAACAACAACATGAACAGGAGCAACAACACTTACAGGATTAAAACAAGCATCCTCACAGCCTCAACAGCTGCTGGCAGGTGGGGCGAGCCGAGTCGGAGAGGGGAAAGAAGGGGAGTAAGAAAAAAAGTTATAAGGTGCCAAAGGCCGTAAAAGATGCAATCAAAATCAAACTGATTTGTCTCCGGGGAGTGATGCCAACTTTTATATTTACGAGCATCCGCAACCGCGACGACCTCTCGGCCTGCAGGTCCGCCGGCTCCCCTTCTCGATAAGGACAGCAGCAGAAGCAGCTGGATCTGGCCACGGGCATATAAAAACAAAGAGGCGACGAACCACATGGCAATGCAATGAAGCATTTAAATTGCAATGTGGCAGTCAGAAGGTTGGCTGGAAGGACCAACATAAAGATGGCTGGCTGGGCAGTTGGAAGGACAGGTGGTTGAGCGGACAGCTGGTGCTTTAATTAGACAGGAGCTGGCATTTGCCGCAGGGTCACGCGTCCCGTAATTTATGCATTGAAATTGCATAATTCGCACAAAAAACTTTGCACATAAATTTTTGGCACTTAAAAATATGAGTGCAGCAAACAGTTGGCTAAGTGTGCTCGGGCAGCCCTTATTTAAGAATCGGTTCTGGGTCTACTTATGTATGCCTACAAAGTCCCTCTTCTCCAGTCACATGCACACCGAAAAAAGGCGCCTTTGAGCCAAATGACACTCAGAGTCGGCCGCATGAGCACGATTCGATTTTAATTTCCTGTTTCGACTGCGGCTGTCTTGTCTGTGACCATTTATAGTTGTAGAAACACACAAATTCTTCGGTAAAAGAAAAAAAGATAGCAGGAAAAAACAGATAAGCTCCTGACGCTCAGTTGATCTCGAATAGTAGATATCCTGCGCCAATGCTGAGGGTAAATATAATGAAAACTTGATTTCGTTTATAGCTTCCAAGCGTATCCGTTCATGAAAAATCTGTGCTATCTAGATATTAAAGTTTTAATCAAACAGACTTATGGTAACTAAACAATAAATAAATTCGAAATATCCTTAAGTTATTTTTAAATACCCTAGAGTCTAATCGTTGGGTAACTATGCAAATATAAGTAGTAAAGAAATTTCCTTTATACTTTAACATATTATTGAAAATAAAATTTGCAATTATATGCGGAATATTTTAAAGTCAAATGAAGTACTAATTCTATGCCTTCAAATCAGCTCTAATCTCACGCTATGCTAAGTTGTTAGCCTCTAATTCATAAAATACAAGTATATTAAATATATTTAATTTTTGACAGACAATCTTCTCTTGAAATATATATATATTTTATATTAACAATGATAGTCGTATATTGAAATTGTTTCTGGAGTTTAAATTAAATCGTATAAACATTTAATCTGAAACTATATAAGTATAGTACTTAGTATAGGAATTAGTTTCTCAAAAAGTTTGCTGGTGAGAAAAGAGTTGTATCTTCCGAAATAGCGCATTGTTTCTTAGTATTACTTATTGATCTTCAACTAAAAAGCATTTATTTGTAAAAAGCCAATTTTTGTTACGTCATTAAAAAAGTATCTTCCATATCGACACAGTTTCACAATTTCGGGGCTCGACTATTTAGCTCAACATTATTTAATGCATACCTTAATCTGACAGTTTATTACATTAAATAAGTACAACCAATAATACCCGTTGACTCCAAAATATACAGAGTATGTATTGGATTGGCAGACAGACAGTCCTATGCGTTGCTTTTGCCGCCTGTCGCAACTTTTCTCCCCAATTGGAAATATCGGCAAGTTGTTGCTACTGTTGCAAATGTTGTTGTTGCTGTTGTAGTTGTTGTGGTTCATGTTGTTGCTTCTAGTGTGGCGTTCTAAGTGAATTTTTTGTCAGCACCCCGCGCCTTCTAATAGCACTTTACTGCAACTTTATTTAGTGCGGCCCATTGGTGTCTATAAAGCGGCCCCCAGCACATGCCACATGGCACAGCTCTTTGCATTTTCATTCAATTTTCAGCCGAGTTTTTGTACCATTTTTGAACATTTTGCAATGAATTTTGTTTGCCAGAGTCTGCATGTCCTTTCCTCTGCCCCTCACCCCCCTGTCTGTGGGGATGGCAGCCTGTCTGACTGGCAGCGTTTTCATGAAGATAAAAAGCTCATCGGACTGTATGTATGTATATTTGTTTGCGTGTGTCTCTGCGAGTCGTTGCCTGTGGCTTTGGTTGTGGCTGATGGTCGAAAGGACATACATATGAACGACTGGGACGCCTCTTCTACTTCTTCTTTTTTTTGATAGCTAAAATAATTGTCTTTATTTATTTATAAGCTCGTTTTTAATTGATTTCTAACACTTTGGTCATGAGTTATTCAACATTTAAGTACAAAAGTGAGTAAGTTGATCAAATAATTGAAGAGGGCGTCTTGCTATGAGATTCTCATAACAAAGGCACTTCATTTTTGTGCTTTAAATTGTTATTGAAAGGAAAATTTTTTGTATAGAAATATTATTTTCATAGAGTTCTTTTTCACTGGGTTAAGTATGGATTGTTAGGAAATGTAAATAAATATAATAGGCAGTATAGGAAAACTGTAAGCTGGCAGAAAGGCAGAAAAAATACATTTGTACGATTTGGCCTTCTTTCCCCCTTAATTCATCATTTGACTTAAAGGTATATACATACATACATACTGACTTCATATAAGCGAAATTAATGGTCATTACGTAATTGGCCACACAGCGGTGCAGTCGTAATTATTGTGGCTGTAATTGATAAAGGGTCTTTTACAATTTCGCAAAACTCAAACCTAGGACTGCCTTGGAATAACTGATGCAGAAATAGATATAAACTCTTCGTTATCTGCCATTGAAGTCATGTCGACTTCCCCCCTAGCAGTTGATCGGCTTAGGCCAACACAACTGGGTCGGTCAACTGAAGCTCCTTATAGTTTGCTGCTAAGCTTTTCGGCAATGTCAATTGCCAATTGCCTCGGAAAGCTGGCTTAAAAACTAAAATAGCTAAGCACACCAGTTTAAAAAGGAGCTGCAACCTTCTGCCAAATGCAAAACAAACGAATCACAATCCAAATAGCAACAAGAGCAACAAACACAAATGCTCTGTGACTAAGGAATCAGCCAAGCAGATAAAAATCAAAGTGGTGGCAACGGGCCGAGAAAATCCCGGCGCATAATTTTGGCAAGAACGTGAAATTAATTATGCGAGGCAAGAGAAAGGCTTACCGCAGGACAAAGACGATGGGGCCGTTGCACGCCCAGAAGACAGTGTTGCGTCAGCTGCCAAAATGGAGAGTGGAGGTGGCAGCAGTAGCAGAAATGGTGGCAATGGCAGTGGCAGTAGCAGTAGCAGTAGCGGTAACAGCAACACCACCAGCAACTTCGGCAGCAGTAAATGAGCGGCGACGTTGGCGGCGTCCAGGATTATGTTAAATTTAGCGGTGACACAAACACTTGGCAAAGGTTCTCACACAATGGCGCAATAATTGCGCATGCCGGGCCTCTGAATGGCGGACGTGGCAGCTTCCGTGCCATTTTCGAGCGGCCGCCCATTAATTGTGCAAAGTCAGTGTGCCACTGAATGTCTGTGAGAGTGTCTGTTTGTGTATTCCTGTCCGCGTCCATGTCCGTGTCCGTGTCCGTGTCCGCGTCCGCGTCCGTGTCCATTTCCACTGCCAAGTCGCAGTCATCGCAGTCAGAGGCGACAGTGCCAAAATGCGCTGCAAGGCGAGGCAGTTGCCTTTTTAGTGTAAAATAATAAAATGCTCTCGAGCATTTTCGTTTCGTTTGGCATGCCATAAATTTGATGCTATTTTTATTGTCATTTTCATGGTGCGCGAAATGCGAACGCGCCCTTAAAGCAATGTTTGTTTAATTTAATGTCTGCAATTACTTGACGCAATCTTTGAAAATGGAAATGGGTATAGGTGTGGGTTTGGGTGTGGGTGTGGGAGTGGGAATTAGCACACGAAGTCGCTCGCGTTTGCCCCAAAAAGTCGACACAATTAAATAAGATTCACGCGCATTTCAAATCCTTAAATGTGCGTAGTTGTCACAGCGACCCACGCAAAGAGATAAATCATTTGCAATTTTCAAATACCTTCGTCTATTTATCATGCTCAGGAATGATGGCAAACGTACACTAAATGGCCCTAGTATTTGCACAGATGAAAATGTTTAATGATTCTCGGTATTCAAATATTTTAAATTTCGTTTCAAATGTACCTAAGCTTCTCCAATTCATATCAAAAATACCGAGTCATTCAAAAAAAGGTTTAAACGACTCACAAAAGTATTACAATTTGAGGGCAATTTTTGATTAGAAATTATTTTTAAATAAATAATAAAGGAGAAAAATATTGCAGAACTGTTTGGAATTGAATTAGTATCGTAAATCGAAAATCAAGCTGAATTTGAAAAAGCTTATGAAACTCGAAAGTAAAAATAACTTTTTGAAATTAATGGTATAGTAAGTAAATAAATTATATCTACTGTTGTGGATCTCTATAAAATGTTGTTTTAACTAAACTGACTGGCCTAACTTAACTGCTTTCCTAAATCGGTGGCATTAAATTGATATAAATTTCTGAAATTCATAAATAAATAAAAATGAATCGCATAGGCTTAAAACTACAAAATTTCAATAGCTTTTAAGTAGAGCATATATATGTAATACATTTTTAACATATTTTAATTGAATATTATTTGTTATTTTTAATTGTTTACTTTCCATTTCATAAAAAATGTTATCAATTTAAATATAACAACAAACTTTAACCAGATCGCAAATATGTAGTAACGTTTTAAGATATTTAAATTGAATTTAATATTATTTGTTATTTTAAGTTATTTTTATTATTATTTATTTAACCAGATCACGATAAGATATTTAAATTGAATTTAATATTATTTGTTATTTTAAGTTATTTCCTCTCCATTTCATAAAAAAGGGAAAACAATGAATTGTTTTTTAAGCATTTAGATAGACTTTAGAGTTTCTTATTTGACAATATACTTTTGGAACTCAATGTACATATGCGTGTAAATAGCGAGAAGACAAAATCTTCATCCAGCTGCAACTGTGCTCGGCTTTAAGCCGCACATACACACGTACACAATATCTGTACATGTACATAAAATTGCTTCCACCTTCTAGGACAGCCAGTTTGTTGCTCGGCGACACGTGCGCATCTCATAGATGCTTACGTGCAAGTCGCACGGCCAAATGATTTGCTTACATTGTTATATTTTTGGCTACCCCCAAACACAACAACACAATACAACAGAAACAACAACAACAACAACAACATTAGGAAGATGAGTATAAAGTTAATGACTTTCAGAGGATTGCAGGGCAGGCTTTAATGAACAGCCGTCTCCATCCAGCTTTAAGTCATTAGGCAGGCGATTCCCAAGGAATGGGAATGGCTGTAGGAATGCCTTTGAGGTTGGCCAAATATTTACATTAAATTCGGCCAACTGGTCGACTGGCTGACTGGCTGACTGGCTGGCAACTTTATTTGTTCTGCCCCTCTCGGTCTACTCTTCTCAGCACTCTACTCGAGCTTTGCACATTTCCTCTTGATTTTGCTCGGCATGTTTTTAGTTGTACAATTCCGTGTTTGTTTTATTTCACTTCACTTTATTTTATTTTCGAGCGCGCGAGTTAATTTTGCACTTCCGCTCATTTAAATGCATTTTTGAGCGCAACTGCCGGCCGTTCTTCCCGCTTTTTTGTTGGTGTTGCTGTTCTTGTTGCATGAAAGTGCCGTGAAGTTGGAACTTGGGTTTTTTCTCATTCGAGTGAGATTGTTTTTTATAACATTTTTCCTTTTCTCTTTTTTTTTTTTTGGGTAACAGGAAGTTCATTTGTAGCATGTGCGCAAGGCATGACTAAAGTAAATGAAATGCCGCTAAGCAGGCACTGCGAAAGGTTTCGGTCTGGAGCCAAAATAATTTTGGTTTCAAAAAGAATTTAAATGTATATTTTATACTAAACCAACAAATGGAGAAAAAAACACGCAAACGTTTGGCCAGCACTGCTGAGAAAATGGTGAGTCTGCAGCAATGGTTCCCGCAGTTTGTTATTAAACTAGTATTGTTGTACTATCTGGTCAGGAACATGGTGGAAAATATGCCTGCACGGCTGCTGGCAAAGCGAAGCCTTCTGGCCTGCTTCAAACCGAGGTTGTGCCATTGCAAAAGTTTAGCTTCGATCTAAGCACACTGCCCGCCGTGCCTCAGGTAAATGGCTTCGAGCGTGGATACACTGCTGAAGCGTTGTTGGACGTGTTCGAGAATCAGGCCGGCGAACACTTGCTCTACGTAAAATTCAAAAATCTTCAAATGCCCGAACTGGTGCCTCTGCAAATAGCTGGGGAGCATGTGCAGCATCTGCTGCCGTCCTTCTACGAGGAATACGTACAGCACTGGAACAAGCGGCAGCAGCAGCAGCAGCAGCAGCCACAGCCACAGCCGATGCAGTACTAGAACATAAATATGGCGAGGTGACCTTGTTAAATCTCATTTACGAGTGTGTACACATATACTTAGCATTGCAATAGAGAAACAATTCAGCAGACTCTTAATGCATTTCAATTTCACTTCTCGCACTCGCACTCGGCTCAGAAATGTTGCCGCTGTGCATAATTTTCTGCCTATTTTGCTCACGTATGTAGATTTCACACCTCGCACGCACATCAAAAGTTGTGCGCAAAAGTTTTGCCTGCCAACTTGAAGAGTTTCGCCTGCTGCACTGATAGAGGCATATAATCTGATGTGGCAGTGGTGATGGCAACGACATAAAAATTATATGTCAAGCGCAAAATCTCAGGCAGTTGCTGCCAACAGCCGCAGCCCCAGCCCCAGCCGCAGCCGCAGCCTCCACCTACACCACATCCTCAGGCTTGCAACCACAGCTGCTGCGGTGGCTGCGCACAAAAACGCTTAAACATATTGCAGCAATTGTGTGTGTGTGCTCCTGTGTGTGTGTGTGTGTGTGTGTTTGGCTTGCGGCAGCTTCCGTTGCACTAAAACATTGCACGCGCTTCGGCTGTGTTTTTGCCGTTTTCCCCCTCCCCCTCCCCCCTCACCAATCCACCCCTCCAGTCCACTCTGTTGCCTCTGACATTGCACTCAGCTCTGCGCTTTTTCCTTTCAGCTTGGCCAGGCCCCATCTACCTGTTTCCCACTCCCAGTCCCAGTCCCGCTCCCGCTTCCCGCTAGCAAAACCAGCTGTTGACTTTTATTGTGGCTTGACATTAATTTGTTAAGTGCGCACGGGCGCAGACTTGGGCGTCGTCGAGTTAACTGGTCTGTTCGCCAACTTAAAGGCATAAAAAGAAAGTGCAAGCAGCGTCTATATCTGCGTCTGCTCCAGCACCTGCTGCTGTCGTCTTAATTGCATTTCAAACTTGTTGGCGACGCTCCTCTTGTTGCTCAAGCCTTTCTTCCTTTGACCTGACGACCCCAAAAATGGAAAAAAAGAGCCGAAATAAAATTATACACACATATCATGCAAGGCCATGCATTTCACATTCTGATTGCGCTACGTCGCTTTTAATTATGTTCAACACACTATAAAAATGCTTAAAATTGCAAATTACGCGCTGCAAACTGCAACTCTTGCAAAATCAGTCAGGGGTGCGCGGCCTGAAGCCAAAGTGGGTTAAATGAACAAATGCGGGATTAAAAAAAAACTACAACAGTTAAAAGGTGTATATATTTAGTTTTGTTTTAATTAGTTAATACAGTTCTGGCTATGTAATTTTAAATACAGTTAACAATGGAGCTATTGATGCTGGCTAAGTGCATTGAGTTCTGATCTCGTTCTTGATCCCCTTTCAGACCTTTTGATATTGACTCTTAGCAGCATTGTGGGTTTCAGTCGTGTTAGCTTAGCTGGAATGCCATTTTGGCAGAAATATCTTCACCTCTTCGAAAGCTGCTGACTATTTTCGGGATTTGGCAAAAGTAAAAGAAATATAAATGCCACTAACTGGCCAAGTTTGAGATGCGTACAGAAATATATTCATAGTAGACGATATCTAAACAACTAGAGTTCATGTTAAATATTCTTACATGTTATGATTACAATGTTGGAATTCAGGTACTAAAATTATAAACTGATAAATAACAAATAATCCGTATAAGCTATCTTAAGAGAATTTCAAGATTTGTCTAGTGGCTTCAGGCGCGATGCACCTTCCTCCTGACACTCAGGCAAAGAGGAGACATACATCTAAGTAACTGAATTGTGGTCATAAAAAAAAATCATGAAAGTTTATAACCTATTAAGTGTGGATTTTTATTTCAGATAATATATGTCTGTAAGATAGGCAGCTAGTATTTTATTTTAAATACAATGGTGATCCGCTTCCGACACACATATATAAATTCTGCAGTGTTCTGAAAAGAATTTCTCATCTCTCATAAGGATGTAAGGATTCGTAACCTTATGGACAATGCTTCCACAAAGAGTAACCATTAAAAATATGTAGAAAAGGTTTTTACAGATAGTGATAACTTTATTAAATAATAAACTATAATTTTTAACAACTATTTATAAGACTCTATTATAAACTACGTTACCCCTCACCTTTACATTGAACTTATTTAGTATCCCATTTTAAATACAATGTTAATCGGCTTCCCACACACATTTATGAATTCTGCAGTGTTGTGAAAAGAATTTGTCATTTCTCATTAGGATTTAAGGGTTCGTTACCTTATGGACAATGCTTCTACAAAGAGATACCATTAAAAATATGTAGTTAAGGTTTTTTTAGATAGTGATAACTTTATTAAAAAATAAACAATCATGTTTAACAACTATTATTATCTCTATTATCAACTAAGTTACACCTTTCCATTGCACTTATTTGCGTAAAAATGTTTGCCACAGCCCACAGTGCGAATTAGTTTGCGCTAGAGAGGGTGCCATTGATTGCTTACTCACACACACACACACACCCAGACACACACACATGTTCACACACCGACAACAGACTAGTATAATGGTGTATGTATTATGTTGTTTAACATTTGTTAGTGTCATCGACACCATTGTGGTGATGGTGTTGTTGTTGTTGTTGATACAAGCCATATGATATGGCCACACAAACACAATCCCAATCACAATCACTAGCACATGCATAAGCACACAAACACATGCACACATACGTGTACGTGTACGTGTGCGTGTATATGCAGGCACACGACCACACATAATATTTGTTTAATTAGCCCGTATTAATGCCAACGCAAGCAAACAAGGTGGCTGGCAACTCCTCATTAAGCCGGCCATTGTGTGTTCTAGTGAGTAGTTTTGCAGGCGTGCGTCCATTGTTGTGGCTGGCTTTGCATATTCCCCAATGACCCAGTCAGAGCGCTGTACGCTTTCATTCCCACTATACTGATTTGACCGATTTGCGTCTCCCTAGCGTCCCGTCCCGTCCCGTCCCGCCGCGTCGCCTCTCCCGTCATTTGACTGCTTATGCGACCCATTTGGCTTTCATAAATCCGCAACGTGCGCTGATTTATTCACTTTACTGGCTCAGCATTGGCTAATGATGTGATTTTAGTGTGGCACACATCTATACCCAAGTACTCGGGTCTGTGGGGGGGTATTGGAGGCAACTCGGGCAATAGCAGGCCCTGCCAACAACTTTCGAAATGCAAAAGATTAGAGACATTTCATTTTGCTGGCATTCATCATCATCAGTTCACATTCATATTTAAAAATGGCTTGCAAGCAAAAGACTTGGCTTTGGAATCTCGACGACTATAATACCAGCGATATTATGACGTCCACAGCAAGGGCCATGATGGAGGAGGGCGCCAAGCCGAAACGCCGCATTTGTCTCCTGGAACGGAAGCTGGTCAACTTCAGCTCCTTTAATATGGACGAGTAAGTGTAAGGTACACGTAGATAATGAAATTACCATTAATGATCGATCTGCAGTCCACGCTATGGAGTCGACCGGGATGTGGATGAGCTGCACCAGCCCTTGGTCACCACCTACATGCGCACCTTTACGGCACCATATGCCCCGCGCTGCAAGCCCCTCACACCCAAGGAGAACACTCCGGACACTTTATTCAATCGCTTGCCCCTCAACGACTTCGAGACAAAGGCGCACATCAACTACAAGTTCCTGGACGATCACATGCACAACATAACGGAAGTCCGCGAAAGGATTAACTTCTTCAGACAACTGCGGTAAGCATCCCGCATCCTGTGATTGCCTACTACTACTCCTAAAGCTAAATATTTATTTTGTGTTTTGCAGCAATCAGTCGTTCGTCGTTTATTAGTTTATATTGATGCTGATTGAACTTGGCTGTTACCGTAAATTAAATTAAAGTCTTATTTCGGAATCCAAATGATAAGAATGAATAAAAAAGATCATTCATTGAGACTACAAAAATTGTGTTCTTTTTGGTGATGAACTGACAAAAACTAGTCGTTGTTAATACAAAAGACATAAATAATAAACTTATTCAATCACATAAACAAGTTATAACAGTAATTATTGAAATTAAACAAACACTCATTCACTCAATAAAATAAACTAAATCATTTAATAAAAAATTTATACTTAATAAAAAACATGCACTCAAAACATAACTTAGTTGACAGTAAATGGTTAAATATCGATTCATTTCTGAAAGTTTCTTAGAAATAGCAAGGTATATTAATGGTTTTACTTAAATATCCTGCAGAATTTCAATATGAAATGGCGTTGTATTATCAATGCGATATAAGAGAGACTTAATGCATACATTTTTGGACTATTAATAATATTAGACGTATTTTCTGTTTGGGCTAAATGTAATGGTAAGCATAAACTATAAGGAAAGTTCTCAGTAGGATCGTAGGACGAGTAATTACATAATTTAATTAACATCAAACGTTTCAGAACTATATTAATGAATAAAATTTATTTTAAAATTAGTACTTTAATGATGTCTTGCACTTTTTTTATTACAGATAAGGCATAAAACGAATTTTCTGAACATGTCAGATATAAGTGTTAGCTTTAAAGTGTTCGATTTAATATACAATATACAATATTTTGATTTTTTCAGTTTTAGAACATTTTCAAATTCAAAAATGAGCAGATTCCATATAAAACAATCAATTTCAAATTGAAATCGAAATGTGGTAAGTATATATCGCAAATAAAGTCAGGCAATCGAAGGTCCGTTGAAATTTTTTCCGTCTTCAAACTCTGACTATAGCTTCGATTGTAATTGAAGGCCAGATGTCGGATTTATGTTTGTTCTCCCCCTGTCGAATGCACCAACATATACTTAGCTTGCCACGTCAGCACAATTGACTGCACTCCTCGCTTGCTTCACTGCTCTCACTCCTCTACCCTCTCTCGATATATCTGACTGAACCTGAACGCCATGATTTGACCACTTCAGTCGCTAATTGCATTACAAATTGTTGCAAATTTGCTTAATCATTGCATGCATTCATGCCACAAGAGCGCGCTTTAACGCATTCCATTGTGTTGCAATTATAAATTAACCAATTGGGGTCAGTAACGACAGCCCCAACAATTTCAAGTGGTGTAGTGTGTGGCATGCCTCAAGTGAGTGTGTGTGTCGCTTGCATTGTGAGCCATGATTTTCTTTCCTTTTTGTTTTTCAATGGAAATCAATTAATTGTGCATAAATAAACTTCACTATTGGGCTGTGCACTTTTTCCTGCATGCACAAACCATTTGTTATGCCATGCAGTAGCAACAACAACAACAACAACAAAAGCAACAGCAACAGCACGAGTGTCAAGTATTTCAAAGCACATTATTAGGTTACGTAGAGTTGTGTTCCTTAGAAAAATGCAAGCAACTTGCCATTAATAATGCAACAAGCCAGATTGTTGCACAGACATCGCAGCGCAGTCCCAACGCCGGCAATTTGCATAAATTCTGCCACAACTACTATACTCCCTCCCCCTGCTACACCTCATTGGAGCTTGGAGATTGAGTGCGGGTGATGTCAAGCTAATGGTCAACTACTTGTATGACAGTGCTGATTTATTATTCACAGTAATTAGTTTGGCCTGCTTAGCAAACGAGCAAACGAGCAAATGCAACTGCCATAATGGCAGCCATCGATGGCGATGACGATGACGATTACGAGGACGATGGTCGCTGGTCGAGAAAGTGTGACAATTTCTTTGCTTTGCATGAGCGAGCCCCGAGACTTGATGTGGCACATAAAGTGGCCGAAAACAAAACAAGCTTAGATGTGCCTGTCTTCTGCCTGTTGACAGGCGCATAAAAGTCGCAATGAATGTGCCAACTGACAGCCTAAGTTGTCCCTGCGAGAGAAAGGGCGAATACCAACAACAACACAATGAAGTGAATATGTTGTTGTTGTTGTTGTTGTTGTGTTCAGCTTTCGGTTTGTAGCTCGCAGCCAGTCTCCAATTTGTGAGCTGTCAAGTCGGCCAACAGAATGTGGTTAGTGAGCAAGATAGAATTAAAAGGATTGCTCGCTGTTCGTTTCTACTGGCTTAGGGGTTTCATAATCAATATCTTCAAGTCTTAGCATTTTGAATACGAAAATACTAGAAACTACAGAACAGCTCTGTCGGGGCCTGTAAATGGTGATATCTGTGCCTTTTCTATAACCAAATAACTGAATATAAACTAATAATATGCTGCACAACTTGTTTGAATATGAATAATTTGAATGTCATAAGAATTTCATTATCCATTTTATTTAACACTATCCCGCAGGTCAATATAATTAGGCAAACTTAGTAAATCGCCGCAAAAGATGTTCGAATCGAATTGTTCCAAATTATTTATGAAATAACTTACACATAACAAATGAAGTCGTTCTACTAAAAGTGTAACCCTTGTAAGTTACAAGTGATTTAAGTTATACAAAATAATACTTATTAATGCAGTACTTCTTTGTGGGAAGCATGTCATTAAATAATTTTGCTTTTAAAATTTTTCATTCAAATAAAATAATTTCTAAAATAAGGACTAGACTTTTCTGTTGCCCTTTAACGTTCGTTTTTCTTTGCACTTTGAAAGTTGAATCTAGAAAAACATCTTTAAGTCTAAAAAAGTCTGCAATATGCTGTTCTTAATTTCTTAATATATTTTTAAAAGATTTTTAAGTAATCGCAGACCGTACATATTTTATGAACAAGTTTTTGTAGCTGAATAAAAAGCTGCTGTCACACCTCAGATCAAGCCAGCTGAGTTGCAAATTTCTGAAATGCGTAACAAGAAATCATTCTACTTATAACTGCCTTAATTAAAGTGATGTTTGTTTATTATAATATTATTATACTTTATACAATGGACGAATTAAATTCAAATTTGTAACAAATTTCTTTTAGCTTGAACGCCATTTTGGCAATTGCGTCGCACGCGATGCCTTGTGTGTGTGTTAAGTGTTGAGTGTGGAGTTGTGGTGCCAACACTTGTCATGCTAATCATTTAGCCAAGTGCTGCGACAGCTTGTTAAGACCCACTACACAAATCGATGACTAATAGAACTCTTAACACTATTTAAGGAGACACACACACACACACTCACGCACACACACACTCACGCACACACATGGAACAACTGACCGCACTTGACGACTTTGTGGCCACTCGCACATTTGGCAGCCAGAGCCACCTCACTACTTGCGATACTCACTGATAAGAGTTCGTGCGTGGGCCAAACAAACCTCAGCAATTGGCTCACCAATGCGGCGTGCAAGAAACTCACCACACACCAACGAATGCCGGCTGCTGTCAGAGCGCCTGCGTCGCGCTCAGCCACTCAGTCACTTAACTCTGCTCGCAATCTGCTGCTGAGGGCCGAGGGTCGTCTTAGTATATCGTTTGTGTGTGTGTGTGCGCGTTGGTGTGTTGGTGTGTGCGTGCGCTGATAAGGCCGTGGGGCTTCGGCTTCGGCTGTGGCTGTGGCAGCGACTGCGACTGCGACTCTGGCAGCGACTGCGACTGTGGTTGCTCGTGTGTTGAGTTGCTCGTGGCTGTGGCGCGGATGCCGCTGACAAAGCCAAACAAGCCAAATGGCAAATCAGTTAACTCGGAAACGTGGCCATGTTAGTTTTGCGGCAAGCTCGTTGCGGGTGTTTGCACAACGGCCAGCACTGACGGCCAAATCTATTGGCCGAGTTGCGTTCGTTATCGAACTCTGAACGCGTGCGAATCAATTAAAGAGACGAGCGCCTGTTTGTGTGTGTTTGTACATACATACATACATATATATAGATATATATACATATAGTATGTGCGAGTGGTCACTCGATCCCATATAAACGCTCAAAATAATAATCACGCAGGCAGCTCGCACAAGATTCAATTAAAAGTGCTTCTCGAAGTGAAATGCTAAGTTAAAAGTGTGTGAAAGAAGTGGCCGAAAGTGTAAAGTGTAATTGGTAAATAGCAGCAATAACAACCTCAACAACAACAACAACAGCATAAGCAACAACCAAAAATTGTTTGTGTGTGTGTGTGCGGCATGTATGTGTAATTAATTTTTGGCAATTTTGTGCATTTAAATTGGCCGTTAAGGCTTTTAAATCAATTTGATCAATTTGCATTTTTCTCCATCTCTCTCCCTTTTTTTTGGGCGCTCTTTCGCATCGCTCGCAAAAGCCAAAAGGCAATTTAATTTACAAATCGTTTGACAGGCCTCAGTCGCATCATCGTGTGAAATGCCTGCTAATGCGGCTTTTGGCCTTGGGGAATATCAGAACAACACGCACAAACAAATAACACGTATTCATTACCAATTTGTTTCAACCTAATCCCCTGGCAGACAAACGTGTTGAAGTTCAAATTACGAATCCTTAAAGTACAGCGAATTTTTCATTTCTTCAAAGCCAAACCAGGATCAGGGTCAAGAAGAAAAGTCGTATGTAGTGATTTCAACCTGATTATTTGAATAGATAAAAACATTATAGTAAATAACAAAAACAAAATTATTCTAAATAATATGATTATCAGCCGTTCTAAGTCTGTCCCATTTTTAAACTAAGTTTTTCACTCACAAATGTATGCGAATGAACGAAGCACAAAACTAGATGCTTCGTGGGGAAAAAAAATTATACACAAATTGTTTATTATTTGACTAAATTACACATTTTATTTTATATTGCAACAACATTTTATTTTATAAGGCAATATCGGAAAGTTATTAAATAAGATAATAGCATATTTTGAATTAATCTGCATAAGGTTGGAAATTGAGCTGCGAATTCAAACGGAGAAGAGCTGGAAACGCTAAACTTTCATGATTTTATTGCATCCTTCTTTTCCGAAATATTTTTGTACGCTATCTACTTCGTAAATTTTAAAACTAAGTCTTTTCACATGAGATCCTATATTTTGTCATAGGAACGATCGGCTGATTATGCAACTTTTTACTTTTTAAG